AGGGAAGGGAAGGGAAGGGAAGGGAAGGGAAGGGAAGGGAAGGGAAGGGAAGGGAAGGGAAGGGAAGGGAAGGGAATGAACATTGCTGGCAGTGTTTGTAGGGCTTGTGTCTTATTGTGCTTGCTTTTTAATTAAGCATTGTTATTGAGACTGATTGTGAGGTCCCTAGGGCTCTTCTCATTTACTTAGCATCTTTTTCTGGGATTTTAGACTGTGCTGTACAAAACAGTCCTACAGTTCAGTGTGATCTGTCTGGAAGTGTCTTGGTGATATTTTCTAGTGTGCAGGTGTATTTGGAGATCATTGTTGGCTTGGTTCATTCCTCCATTTAGTTTGCATGGGAGGTTAAGTGTGAAACCACAGGAGTGAATCCCTTCGTGCTTGTTGAAAACACATTATAAACTTATGTTTTTGTAAGGACAACACATCCTCTATGTTAGAATTCCCTGAAATTGTTTTAAAACTTAATAATAATCTGGAATGTCTTGTTTAAAAAAAAAAAAAACAACCCAAACCCAAAATCCCTAAACAAAACAAAAAATTAAATGCCTTTTTAAAATTATTGTTTGCAATCATCACAAACTTCTAAAGGATATACTTGGATTACTGATTTACTAAAATTTACTACATTTACTAATTTAATAAAATTTAATACAATTGTTTAAGTAAAAAATTTTAAGTGTCTGGCTCAGATTTCCTACAAAGGTTACAAATATTGGCAAGGTGGTGTAAGGATGGCAGAACCAAAACCAAATTAAATACTTTGTCTCAAACTATATTTCAGTTTTGTTTTGAGAACCAAGTAATCAATCTGCCATGATAGAGTTACTTAGTTTTAATGAAAATATTGAAAAAATCACAATTTACATTTTATGCTGGAATAGTCTGTCCTTAACTTAAAGTGAAAGAGTAAATAATAATTTCTTCTTAAATGCTTGTCACACAGATAGGTCATCTAGAATATATTTGCAAGCACCAGACTGACACTATGAATGACCTTCAGCAGAACCAGGAGGATGCTTTTAAGAAAATGTCTGAACAGTTAAAAGCACAGGAGCATTTCTGGCAGAAAGAAAAGCAATATCTTGAACAGCAGTACTCAAATCGCCTTGCAGAAATTCAAGCCAGAGCACAGGTATGGTGCTGTGAACTTCTAATTTTTTTTTTTCCTTGTAACATTTAAGGAATTATTTCAGTACTTTAAGTCCCTTAGCAGTTTAAGGTCATTTAGGAATTAAAGTATATTTTCAAAATAAAAAAAAATACAAACAACAAACCAGCCCATCACTGTGATAATATTAACATCACTTAAAATAAGAAATACATTACTTTGATGAAGCATTTGTTGAAGAGAATTTGGTCTACAGCCCCAGCTGAGAAGCCTGATTTCATCTACAGTTGGTAGTATTTTTTTCTGAGAATGTTAAGAATGTCAGATCAAATTTCCTTTTTTCAAGAATTACTGAGGGCAGCAGCCACTTTTTGAGCATCATCATTTGCAGAGATTGTATGGAGTAACAATAATGTGGTGTTACCTGTGGATAAATTTAATGACATATGTACTGACCCTAAGAACAGTGGTAGATTTCAACAGTGTTAAGCGACTCTGCTTTACTGATACTACAGTGAGAAGTGGTTTTAAAGTGTAAAACTGTCACTGCTTGTTAGATGGGTTATTTGCAATTAAAAATGTTCCCTGTTATTCCACAGCTACCATTTACTGTCTTTATCACCACATTCCTTCACACCTGTTTCAATTAAAAGCGTTATGAATAAAGGAAATAGATGTTCCTTGTTATCTGTGAGTTACTGCAACTTACTTCACAGAATAATGCTGTATTTGATGCAATTTCAGGACTGGAAGTCTTTGCATGGTGAAAACTTTAATGTCTAGTTTCATGTTCCAGACTTCCTTACGTTTTTCCTTTCACTTACACTGGCTTTCTGCTTAGTAGAGCAGTGTTTTCTCTGAAATTGGAGGATGTTATTACTATTGTTAAGTCAACTCATAAAATGGTAGTGTGGGCAGACAGGTGTTGTTGGACCTTCTGTGAGCTGTCACGGTGTTGGTGGATTGTTGTCAGAAATGAGGAGTCCATCTGCAGTTGATGATCATGTAAATTTCCCTCCTACCATTGCACTGGTTTCATACATCTGATTCTGTAATTGCTTACCAGAAGAGATACCAGAAGAGATTAGTAATAATCACCATTATTACTAATAATTTTTGCTCCTTTAATGCATCATTAGAATGGCAAAACTAAGAATTTTGGTTTTGCTCTTGTCTAGGTAAAAACCATCTAGTTAATATTTCTTCCATTTTTGTTTGGTTTGTTTCTGTTGCAGGATTGTGAAGAAACAGAGCAGAAAAACAGGCAAAAACTGTATGGCCTTGAACAAATCTGCGAGCAACTGGCCCATGAAAACAATTCCATGAAAAATACATTATTAGATGCTTTCAAGGCACGCTCATCCCTGCTGGCAGCCTGTGCGCTGCTGTCAGGGGCCCTGTGTCCTCTCTATGGCCGACTGAGCGCTATGTCTTGCCAAAGAGACATTCTCCAGGAACAGGTGAACCAGCACCAATTATTGAACCAGAAGATCATCAGGCTCCTTCATGATCTCCCTACTATGGTGGAAAGCAACCAAGACAAAGGCAGGCTGAGGCAGAGAAGAGCCAAGCGCCTGGTTTACGTGTTCCGAAGAGCTGTGATTGCAGTTCTGGCCGCTAACAGGCTGAGGGCTCTGGCCCGATATTCTTGTACCTTTTTCATCTGGACAGGTGGCTCCAGAGGAAACAATGGAATTCAAGTTTGTGTGGGAGAATCCAGAGGCAGGCATATGTCACGTAAGTGAAATGTTCTTAAAGTGTCATCTCAAATTACATTCTTAGGGAATAACAAAGAGCAATATTATTATTATTGCTGGGGCATAAAGATATATTTAATGACATGCTGAAAAATATTATTTATGGATTTATGTTTTTTATGTTTCTTTATTAATGTATTTCACTCTAAGAGCAAATGCCTAATCTTATGTTAAGCGTTGCAAGTAAAATTGCAATTATGCACACGAACTCAACACTTATCTGATATCCTTGATATTTGTGTTTGTAAATGATTAACTGTCCTTTTTTTTTTGAAAAGGTACTTCCTCTTCTTTTTAAAATAATTTTTAATACTTATTTCCTACTAAAACCCACAAAAATTGCTTTCTGATTCAGGTAAAATATTAGCATAGGATTTTGAAATTTTCTTTGGAGATGATGTCTACTTTCCCATTTCTGTTGCCAGACCAGTTTATACTTCCCTCTACAAGGATAAACAGTATCAAAAATGTTTTGCAAATTAGAAGATTCATCTACTTTTTTTTTTTTAGTAATTCTGGAAGCATGCTTAAAAGAGCTTAAATTCTCCTGACTAATTTGTTGTTTATATGCTTGTTTTTGGTTAATTTCTGAAAGAGCTGGAGGCAGCAGTGTGCCATATCTTAGTGATTCAGTTATCCTGCTGGCTGCAATTCCGTTTCACAGGTTTTGAAGAGGAAGGAGTTGACTGTATTGAAGCGCTTGACTGGTTGAGTAGCTCTAACCTCTATACTGCAATAATCAGTTCCATCTCAGAACTGGAGCATGTTCTCAGCAAACAAGGTAATTTTAACTGTATATTGTTGTAGCAGAAATATATTTAAAAAATAAATAAGTCAGGGTGGTTATATAATTTCCATTTTATGATTTTATCTAAACTGTTCTGGATTGTAGCTCTGAAGAGATATTTCTGAATATTTATGATAGACACCTTTGACTAGAGGTTATGTCCTGAACTAGTCAATACAAAATTTAGTGGGACTGTTTCCCTGAAGGAGTAATGTTATTGCAGGGTAAAATAATAACCCTCTTCTTCATTCTCTGAATGATCATATCTCTGTACTGTTGGAATGGATTAATTTTCTTGAACAGCTGATAGGACATTTTATCCTTTCAGTATATAGAGCGATGGAAGCAGAAGGCTGGAGAGTGTTTCTGGAGTTTATTTACAGTGAGAATTGATAGAGGCTCCCTTGGTTCATCTGCATTGCTGCCATCCCTGGTTCTTTATTAACCTCTAGTTTAGAGTCCCCACATTTTTGTCACAGAAAAAAGGATATTAGAAAGGGATAATTTATGTGAATAAAGAGAAATAGCAGGACAAATACAAGGTGATGCATTTTCCAGAAGGCTAAACACTAAATTGGTGTAAAAGTTGCCATTGAATCAAATGTGTTTAGATTCAGTTTCAGGCACTTTCTTCTTTGATCATGCTGTTTTCAATAAATTGAATTCATATCCTTTAAAAGCAAAGTTTGAACAGTGTTTCAGATTCAGCTTCTGTCTTTCAGAATACTGACAGGTTCCATCCTGTAGAAGTAAAAAAGGATGTGATATTATACAAGAAACGGGAGCTAATAACCTGCTCAATGTTTCCTTTGTGTTGTTGTTTCTTAAAGATGCACACCTCTGGCTTTCTGGACACTCACTTATCAGTGCAGCTGGGAGCTGCTTTGCAAAACTGATGGACAACCTGAGCTTACTGATGGAGACAGCTCAAGGGAGCATTCGTGGGTGCAGAGCTTACCTGGAGAGGGACTCCCTGATACAGAGGCTGGCTCGTGGGCTCCACAGAGTAAATGCCCAGGCCCTGGAAGCTGGATTGTATGACAGACTGCCCAGCACAGTAAGCAGATTTACAGTCCTCCTTCATGGAAACAGAAGGTTTATAGCAACAGTGAAGCTCCCTTGATAGCAGCATTTCTTTTGCTTCAGGCTGGTGATGAGTCCGTGACAATGAAGTACCACTATATGGACACTGAGAAGTTGATTTGTCACATGCTAGGATGTGAATAGCTCTTTTCTTTTATTGACAAACAATTTTTGGAGGTGGTTTAGTGTATCCAAGTAAAAGATCTTTTCTCAAGTTCTATCAGATCTGTATTAGCTTATAAGAACAAATTTGCTTTTGGCTTGATGTAAAAGGTTGCTTTTTATTATTGTTTTCTACTTTCTCATGTTTACCATCCTTTCTTTCAGTAAAAATAACCTTCTTCCTCTTAACAAAAAAAAAAAAAATATATAAACTCTTTCTCTCATAATCTTTTATAGTAGACTTTAGGTGAAAATAGTACTTCCTTGTAAACAGAATTTGCAGTAACCCCTTGTAGGTGACATGTTCAAACTTTTCTGTATGTCTTTTAGAGATGCAGGAGAAAATGATAGTTTTGTCTTCATTTTCTTGGGTCTTAAATATTATTTATTTTATTGCTAAAATAACAGATTTTATAGTCCATCAATTTGTTTTTCTTTACTGACAGAGAAACATAGGAATCTTGCAGCAAGAAATATTTGGATTTTCACAAAGGCTTCATGTATCAGAGGCAGAGTCCCACACATTGCGCCTGCAACTTGCAGAATGCACATTGGCTTTCAGTGAGATGCAAAGAGATGCTGAAAAAGCCCAGAAACTGCAAGAGCAATTAAATGAACTTCAGCATGTATGTACATTTGATTTGGAGACTCTCCTGCTTAAAAGAGATTCTCCTTTTTACACATTTTTTGATTTGTGTTCTTGTGGAAAACAAACATAAAGTTTATTTACTTTCAATAGAATTTTCCAGAAAACTTGCCTTGTAAATGTCACTAACTAGAAGACAGATGTATTTAGAAATATCCCTGGAGTTTCCTTTTGATTTGTAGAAGGAGGTATCCTGTATAAATTACATTTTGGTCTTCAGCAACCGAAGTTCTCCCATTTGTTGGAAATGTTGATGTGATTTATGTATCCTAGAACATTTCACTTCAAGAGAGAAAAGTCAGCTGGAATGAGGGTATTCAATAAGAATGTTCATGAGAAGTTCATGAAATATAAATATAGCAGTTTAAACTCTGTATGGATGTTGATGAATGTTATAATAAATGCAATGCAAATTTTAGTGGGTCTGTTTCCCTGAAGAAGTAACTTTGTGGCAGGGGGAACAAAAGCCTTTTCCTACATTCTCAGTAGCACAAATGGCCAAAATTCCCGTGACTCTTTTGCTGTTTCTCATTGACTTACTGAAACGCTGTGAGTTCCCTAACCTGAAGCCTAGTTAGTAGAACCTGTCAAGGTGTCCCAGTCCAAACACTTCTAAGCAGAGAATATCTGCTAGATGATGTCTCACCCATTGTCCTTCCTAGCTAGTAAAATGGATTTTTTTTTTCCCTCAAAAATATCTACTCATCTTCAGTTTTGTTCTTAACAGGTTTTATTCCCTTAGTGCTTTAGTTCAGTTAGATGACAATTATCACATTTCAGATTATAGTTGAAATGCAGATGGCGACTTTCCTTGAAGAATTATTTCTTCTTTCTGGAACAGTTTCCAGATGAGAAGAACAGTCCACAAAGGTGTTTACAAGGGTTAATAAGTTATCCATTAAAATTCTGAACACTGATCTGCATATTTTTCCTTCTAAATATTGAAGTTTTGCATCCTATGGTGCTAATTTGAGTAGAATAATGAATGCCAAGACTTTACATGAATGTTCTTTATAAAAAATGCAATAATTAACTGGTCTGCCATTTTATTGTTCAGTGATCTGTCTTCATGTTAAAAAAACCTCAATACTAATCCTAAGCATGCATTTGTTTTAGAATTTGATATGTTTGCAAGTGGAACTCACTCAGTGTAGGGAGACCACTGAATATAATTACAGAATCAGGCACAACTTGTTTCTCTTTCCAGAAAATCAACAAAGACAATATACACGAGGAGTTAGATAATGCTTTGCAGAGTGAGCACGAGGCAAGATTGCTTTTAGAAGAACACCAGCAACGGCTTCAGGAGCTGAGTAACAGACTGGAATTGCTCTCATTTACTGACACAGATAAAAGCCAAGTCTCCAGTTTATCTCTGATGGTAATATTATTCTTCTGGAGCAGTCACCAGAGCTTTACCTGTCATTAAATTAGCCAAATAGTGCAGTCCTTGTGTAAATAAAATAACAGGAGTAAATACACACACACTACTCAGTCTGCTGGAATGTTAGGCTACTGAGAAAACACTTCAAAGACTCCTTTTTTTTAAGCTATGGATGTTTTCTTTTCAACAACTTAAGAAAAAGTCTTCATTGGGAGTTTGCTTTGTTTTTTTTTTTTTTTTTACAGACTGGAATTGCTCTCATTTACTGACACAGATAAAAGCCAAGTCTCCAGTTTATCTCTGATGGTAATATTATTCTTCTGGAGCAGTCACCAGAGCTTTACCTGTCATTAAATTAGCCAAATAGTGCAGTCCTTGTGTAAATAAAATAACAGGAGTAAATACACACACACTACTCAGTCTGCTGGAATGTTAGGCTACTGAGAAAACACTTCAAAGACTCCTTTTTTTTAAGCTATGGATGTTTTCTTTTCAACAACTTAAGAAAAAGTCTTCATTGGGAGTTTGCTTTGTTTTTTTTTTTTTTTTTTACCTACAATCAGTTTGTTTTCTAAAATGTATTTATACATAGCAAATATAATGAAAACTGAGGGGGTTGAGAGTCATCAATGCTTTTGCTAGGAAATTCATAAAACCTTAGTATGCAGTGGTTGAAATCTGCTTCACAATCAATTTGTCTTTCATGTTGGTCAGCAGCCAGTGGCATAAAGTGAAGTTTATTTGGGCTAAAGAGTAACTCTGGTCTCTGTCTGCTGGCAGAACCTCCCTAACGCAACAGAGGAGCTGAGGAGAAGAAAGCAAGTCCTGGATCACCTGAAGAGACTCCTGAAAGACATGGAGCAGGACCGGCAGCAGCTGCAGGAGACTCTCCAGGAGGCAGAACTTGCCATCCAACAGGGAGAAAAGTGAGTCCTGGGGCCTGGGGGATGTCACTTAAAATGAACAAAATTTTAAATTCTTACTTCCATGGGCAGGGCTTTAGCTCTGGACAGTGTAAGGTTAGAAGAGAAAAGCAGACCTGTCTCTTTTATTTTTAAATTCAGACATAGTCTTCTTAAAACAAAAGTCTTAGTTCAAAATACTAGGTCATACATTTTATGCATGCACCAATATTAACTATTTTTAGGGTTTGCATTGGAGATTTTATGAAACAGGGAGAAAATCCTAACAGTTTGAGTTACCAACAATTATTTTGCAAGACACGACAGCCATAAAGTAGCAGAAGATTAATTTCTACATTGGTAGAGCTTCAGTTCTATAAAGTTACACCATTGTTCTTGTTTTGTTTTGTTTTGTTTTTTCTTTTATAATAGAGATGAAGACTTGATCATGAATCGTATGAAAGCTGTGGATGCTGCCCTGAATGAGGTAAGAATTTGAAGTGTTCCCTCTGATTTGTGTTCCAAACAAGCCAATAAGTTCTAAGTTCCCTTAGAACTGCTTATTCTCAGGGGAGGAGAAAAGTTGTTGCAAAGCAACTTCCTTTCTTTAGAGCTGAAGTTTGCTTCCTCAACTTCTTCCATCTTAAAAAAACATAGTGAAATAAAATGCAAGTTTGTAGTACCTACACAGCTTGTTCTAAGTGTAGAGTTATGACAAAATTCACTTTCCTTCCCTCGCTGAGAACTGTTTCTGGTTGCCAAGACCAATGCAACATACCAAAAAATTGGCAATTGTTGTGGTTAACCCTTTACTGAATGATGAGAGGTCACATACTTGGTGGCTGTCAAACATTTGGCTTTGTGTCTGCTGCTTTAACCTATGAAACATCATAAATAGGAAAAGAAGAGGCAGGAAGTCATAATATGTGGTCACAAACTTCCATGGTATTTTTAAAGCTTATTTTAAATTTAATAGTAATCTCAAGTTTTCTCTCTGACTTGTAAAACTGTGGCCTGGTATAGGACTATTTGAAGGTCCAACAAAGCTGTACATATTAATTATTTAGGAGAAAGGACTAAAGCTTCTGCAGCCTGTTCCCTCTTTCTCCCCAGAAGAGAATCAGGAACACAAAAAGTTGCATTTCATATTTGCACAAAGCGTTTGTGGTATCAATAACATAGTACAATACGTGCTGGGGAGCTCGCTGGTGGGGCAGAATTGTCAAGTTCTTGTTCACCTGGCACTCTTTCCCCCTTTTTCCTCTCTCTCTCCTCAGCCCTCATCTCTAGTTCCTGTTTGATTCCTTTCCAAGCTCATTACTGAGGTTTTATTGCAAAATTTGCCTTTTTATAGAGAGAGGTCACCAATTATTTAGGAGAAAGGACTATTTTCAACTGTAGCTCTCATGGCAGATGGTTTTATCACTGTTTTTAATCTAGAGCAGCACAGAGGGAAAGAAGTGATTTAATTACCTTGGAGTGTCAATTTCCCTTACTATATCTTTAATTCCTAGCTCAAGTTCTTGTTCACCTGGCACTCTTTCCCCCTTTTCCTCTCTCTCTCCTCAGCCCTCATCTCTAGTTCCTGTTTGATTCCTTTCCAAGCTCATTACTGAGGTTTTATTGCAAAATTTGCCTTTTTATAGAGAGAGGTCACCTAATGGATTTTAGTTTTACTCTATGCCAAACTGTATTAAGGGCAATCCTGCAATCTTGAATGAGGTAAGCAGTTAGGAGTGACTTTAGGGACACTTGTCATTAAAAACAGTGGAGCTGTTTGCAGGCACATCCTCTAGAACTGCCTTAGTTAGTCTGTGATGAGCACATTTCAATTAAAAGCCTTATAATCTGCAAGAATCCTCTTTTAGGACTAGGACCACAGCACCAAGACATTTTTGGAGATTCTTTCTGATGATAAAAGATGTGATACTGATTAATTTGCCACTGCTGTTTCCTAGACACTACAATGAAACAACCTGATTGATTTTAGTTTTAACATCTACTCTGAAAATCAGCAATGTGACACCAATGAAAGAAAAACTGCAGAAATCTTTTCAAACCCCTGTTTGTGGTAATAAGCTGATTTTTGTCTGTATCACAAGTTTACATTCAAAAGACCAAAGTCATACTATCTGAAGGGAAAAATTATAACAAATAAAATGTGATTAACCATTGTAAAGAAGACCAATAATTTCAACCCCAAACAAAACCAACCAAACAAAAAAGCCAAGATTTTCATGGTCCTTCTTGGTCAGTATCAGATTTTTTTCAACCCACAGTTCTAGAATTAACTGTGGGGTTTAGAGCATTCCTCATTTAAAAGAAACTGCTATTTAGAATGTTTAAATATAGAAGCTATTTTGCTCGTGTAGGTTTCAGGACTTTAAAACTGGCATTTTTTTCTGTATATGGCAACTGAATATCAACAAAGAGAACTACCTTTCCCTTCATTGTTCTAGCAGCTCTTCACAACAAATAGGGTTTTGTTCAAAATTTCAAAATACTAATTTTGTTAGGACAAAGCAATGAGTGGAAAAAAAAAGAGAAATTTACTGAAAATGTGTCATATTTTCAGCTCTGAACACAGATTCTGTGCAATGCGTCCTTATTGTTTTTAAGTTTGATGTCTTCTATCCCTTAGTCTTTATCACTGTGCAGAATACATTAGTGCTAAACCAGAATTTTTTGCCCAATGAGAGAACAAAAGGCAGAGTGAGTACAATTTCATTGTACTTCTCTGTCTGAATTAGAGACAGTAGGTAATCAAGTGCAAGGAACTTAGAGAAGGTAAGTATTGCCTACAGTGTGTAAGTTTCTGCAGTAATTCCTTCCCACTTATTGTAGATTTTCTCATCTAATGCAGTATATAATTGCAGGATCAGGGTCACAGAATCAAACATTCAAGAAAGGCAGATTCTAAACTGGAAATTTCTCACTGTTGCCCTCTTGCATGCATACATACATTTCAATATGATAAAGATAGAAATTACGTGTGCATCATTGTGTTTCCACACTAAAATATGGAAAAGTGGAATATGTAATGCCTTGAGATTCCCATGAAGCTTAATTAGCACAGATGAACTTTTCTGTCAAAGGGTAAAATTACAAATGTTTCCCCAGTACAGCGATGATCCATTTTAGAGCTGCACAAAAGGTCCCACAGGTGGCATCTTTCCACAGAAGGCATTGTGGCAATCACCAGCTTTTACATCCTGATTTTCTATTTTGATAGTGGATGCTGCTGCTTTTTTTTTTTTTTTAATCCAATCCCAACTTCCATTTTTTTTGACCTCACAGTGATTGCAGAAGCTTCTGCAGCCTGTTCCCTCTTTCTCCCCAGAAGAGAATCAGGAACACAAAAAGTTGCATTTCATATTTGCACAAAGCGTTTGTGGTATCAATAACATAGTACAATACGTGCTGGGGAGCTCGCTGGTGGGGCAGAATTGTCAAGTTCTTGTTCACCTGGCACTCTTTCCCCCTTTTCCTCTCTCTCTCCTCAGCCCTCATCTCTAGTTCCTGTTTGATTCCTTTCCAAGCTCATTACTGAGGTTTTATTGCAAAATTTGCCTTTTTATAGAGAGAGGTCACCTAATGGATTTTAGTTTTACTCTATGCCAAACTGTATTAAGGGCAATCCTGCAATCTTGAATGAGGTAAGCAGTTAGGAGTGACTTTAGGGACACTTGTCATTAAAAACAGTGGAGCTGTTTGCAGGCACATCCTCTAGAACTGCCTTAGTTAGTCTGTGATGAGCACATTTCAATTAAAAGCCTTATAATCTGCAAGAATCCTCTTTTAGGACTAGGACCACAGCACCAAGACATTTTTGGAGATTCTTTCTGATGATAAAAGATGTGATACTGATTAATTTGCCACTGCTGTTTCCTAGACACTACAATGAAACAACCTGATTGATTTTAGTTTTAACATCTACTCTGAAAATCAGCAATGTGACACCAATGAAAGAAAAACTGCAGAAATCTTTTCAAACCCCTGTTTGTGGTAATAAGCTGATTTTTGTCTGTATCACAAGTTTACATTCAAAAGACCAAAGTCATACTATCTGAAGGGAAAAATTATAACAAATAAAATGTGATTAACCATTGTAAAGAAGACCAATAATTTCAACAGTTAGTTGAGACTACTTGGGGTAGATATAAAGTTACCAGTACTGCCAAATCACCTGTGCTCTCTTGTGCTGCTAACTTTATCATCAATCTAATCAATATAACAAATTTTTTCCACTGCATACATGCAAACAGTTAGATTTTTCCAGTTATACTGCAATCAGATTATTTGTTTTCAGAGGTCTGTAGGTTTGTGGTATTTCTTTTGTTACTGCCAAGTTAATTTTTTTGCTGTGGAGTGGAAGGTTTAGTAAATTGATTCATCTTGGAAGTGTGAACATTATCCTGAAACTGTGTGGCAATTTTTTGTGGACAGAAATTGAACCTGCAGTGAATCTTGTATTGAAATAAAATGAAAAAGTTGTATCAAGAGCTCAGTGCTGTACTGCGTGCTTGAAAACATCTCATCAAAGCATCTTCTAACTAGGGGGTGGAGTCATTCCATTTTTCTCAATGATATTAATATTCAACATTCCAGAAGAAATACAAAATCGAGTGTTAGACCTATTTTGATGTTTAAGTCCTGGGACTGAGAATCTGCCTGGCTTACAAACTGTATATGGTTTCTCTCTGCGAAAAAAAACATTCTGTCTTTTGTTACAATTTTGGATGTGTGCTATTTGGAATTTAAGTGTAGCTTGCCTGGCCCTAATGATCCCTTTTACTTTTATTTAAAGCATGTGCTTAGATGTTTTATGGATCTCTACTCACTGGCAGCTGCCAGAATTGAAGCATTAAGAACAGGAAGAAAATCTGCACGGGTTCACGTTGAACCCGAAGCAGCTGTTGAGCCTCTTACTCCTGCTCCTGACGGTAAGTCTGCTTTTCAAGCAATTACAGTCATTTGGATGGGGGTTCCCAGACAGCGTCTCCCTTCATGCTGCACAGGTTCTGTAGGCAAATACAACAACACTTAATTGTAAACATAATGAAGCACTGAAATTAGTGCAAACAGAAACATTCAGAGACACTTTCCAGAAGAGAAAGGAGGTGGTGAAAGTTAACACAGGGATTAAAATGACTACTGGGGTTTTTTTTCTATTGGTCGCTATTTGATTGGGGGCTATTTGGTTCTAGTTTGAATTTGTTGCTTGGTTCATTGGATTTGTTTTGGTTTTGGGAAGTAGGGCTGGTGGGTGGGTGTGTGTTTGGTTTTTGAGGTTTTTTAATATTACTACCCTTCCTTCCTTCCTTCCTTCCTTCCTTCCTTCCTTCCTTCCTTCCTTCCTTCCTTCCTTCCTTCCTTCTTTTCTGTCTTTCTTTCTCTCTCTTTTTAACAAAGGCTTTTTTCTTACTTTCTGTTAGAAACCATTAACATTTTGTAACAGCCTTTCCTTGCAACCACAACCATTCCACTATTGTCCATTTCCTTGCTTTTTACAATTTACTTTCTCCAAACAGAATCTGCACACTCCCACACTGAATCTGAAGCAGGTGGTTCACCACCTCCTCCTCCGCCACCTCCTCCTCCACCACCTCCTCCTCCTCCCGCTCCTGCTGCTGCTCCTGCTGCTGCTCCACCTCCTGACGGTAAGTCTGCTTTTCAAGCAATTACAGTCACTTGAATGTGGGTCCTCAGACAGCATCTCCCTTCCTGCTGCACAGGTTCTCTAGGCAAACATTAGTAATGGGAGCATTAAAACTAGTGCTAAGAGAAATGTTCTGAGACTTTTTTCAGAAGATAAAAGGGATGGTGGAAGCTAAAACATGGATTAAAATTATTACTCTAATGTTTTTTATTATTGGTCTGTATTTCCTTGTGGGTTTTTTTAATTTTAGTTTGGGTTTGGTTGCTTGGTTGCTTGGAATTTTTTGGTTTTGGGGAGTGGTTGAGGTGTGTGGGTAGCTGTTTGATTTTTGATGTTTTTCTTTTTTTACTTCTTTTAATTGCTTGTTTTCTTTCTTTTTTTTTTTAACCAAAAGATTTTTTCCTTTCTTTCTGTTATAAACGATTAACATTCTGTTATAGCCTTTCCTTGCAAACATAACTATTTCCATTCTCTGCATTTCCTTGCTTATTAAAACTTACTTTTACTGAACAGTTATTTTTCAGCCTCACATTTCACCCCAAGCAGCTGGTAGACCTCCTGCTCCTACTCCTGCTCCTAATGGTGAGTGTGCTTTTCAACCAATTACAGTCACTTGGATGTGGCTCCTAGTCCACATCTCCCTTCATGCTGCACAGCTTCTGAAGGCAAATACAACAACACTTAAATGTAAGGGAAGCATTAAAACTAGTACAAACAGAAATGTTCTGAGACATTTTTCAGAAGAGGAAGAGGTGGGTGAAAGCGAAGACAGGTATTAAAATTTTTGTAATTTGTTGTAGTTTCTTTTTTTTTTCTAGTGGTCCCCATTTACGATTATTTTTAGTTTTGATTGTGTTTGGTTTTTTGGTGGGTTGGATTTTTTTGGTTTTGGGGACTGTTGGTGGTGGGTGGATGGGTGTTTGGTTTTTGATTTTTTCTTTCATTACCATTTTTTTTTTACCAAAGGCTTTTTCCTTTCTGTCTGTTTTAAACCATTAATGCTTTTGTAATAGCCTTTCCTTGCAACCACAACCATTGCAGTTTTTTGTATTTCCTTGCTTTTTTAAACTTTGCTTTCTCTAAGTTGTAGAAATTCTCAGACTGGGTTTTTTTTCTTGTCACCCTCTGTCTTTAATTTTTTTCTTGGAAATAGTGTAGGACAGAATTCAGTAAATGTGGACCTCGAATAATTACAACTTTTTCTTAGTGCTATTAGTACTGGGTGGTTTATTTGCTTTGAAACATGTGAATGACCTTACAGTGATAGTAAGTAAAGTAAAATCTCATAGTGTCATGGGTTTAACATTGGCTAAAAGCCAGTACACCTACAAAAAATCCTTTACTTATTCTCCTCTGGCACAGTTGAGCAGAGGAGGAGGAAAGAACAATTAAAAAGCTTACGGGGTGAGATAAGGATTAGAAGTAAAACACTTTAAGGGAAAAACAGGCTCAAAACTTTTAAATATATAAAGACAAATCTATTAAATCTATTAGTGAAAAAGAATAATGAGATCTAAAACCACTTTTCCCCTTCCACAGCCCTTTTTTCCTTCCGACCAACAACACAGGGAGACAAAACATGGGGCTTTTAGTCAGTTTGTCACTTCTAAAAATCTTTCTTCAGTCTGCTTAGGGAGAGGTGTCTCTTTTGCTATGCCATGGGGTCTTTCCCATGGGAGACAGTTCTCTGTGAACTTTCCCAATGTGATTCTAATTTTCATGAGCAGCAGCCCCACCCAAATTTGCTGCAACACGAGTCACTCCCACGGGCAAAGAAGTCTTCCCACAACTGTTTTGGTTCATGGGGTTTTGTTTTAAGGATGAGCTGTTCTAGTATAAAAGCAAAGGTCTTTTTCTTCTGTCTCTGGAAGCAAGGCTTCTCTTTCTCTTTCAAGTCTTTCACCCGATCACAGCTTCTCAGCATCCACATGTTCCAGGATGAGCACCTTTTTCTCACAGGATACAGGCGGTTTAAATTTAATTAAATTTCTCTATTCCCCCATGCACTTAATGAATTACAAGGAAATAGATTGTTGTTACAGTCTTCACCACAGCTTGCAGAGAATTTCAGCTCTGAGGCCTAGAGCACCTCCTCCTCTCCCTTTTGCACCGACTTTAGTATCGCCATGTTGTTCTTCTCGCATGTCTTCACCTTCTCCCTTTCTTTGACTCAGGAGAGAATTAGTGTTCGTAAGTTCATTTGTTCTCAAGTTCTGTCAATTGAAAAGTTTTTTAGATTTCTGCAGTGTTGAAAGGGTTGATCCTCTCCAGGCTTGCCATGCCCCTCACAGCTAACATTACTACTTAGCCAAGGAATGCAGGTATCCCAGTACAAATGCATTCCTTGTCATGTGGCTTTGCTTACACAAGTAATAGAATAGTCGTAATCAAATATTATAAATCATGCAGTTTAAAATAATAACAATATGAAACTTATATTATAAATCACATTATGTAACTTAGGACAAAGTGTTCAAAAACACATTAGTTCAACCCCACACATGCTATTTGGTAAAGAAAGTGCCTTTTGTATGCAAAAATTGTTTGATCCTCAGTATTCTAGTTATGTGAACTTTTAACTTGTCAGACTATTGTAACATACTTGAATATTACAGTAATTTAATTAAAATGTTGACTGCAACAATATGCCTGGCTAATATTTGAAGAATATGAAGTGTTGATTTCAATTACTGGTGAAATATATCCAAAAACAAGTCCCTTCTGTGGCAAACAGGGCAAGTGTTTCCCAATAACAGTGACAGGAAGACTGTAGAATAAATTTGTTTACTTGATTAGAAAACACAGCCTTGGAATTATAATGATGAGGAATAAAAGATCTCTGTAAGTATTGTGCAGCACTTCAAATAAAGTGCTATTGTTTTCCAACCTTTCTGAGGGCAGGATACTCGTGCTAATGTCCTTTGTCTATTAAAGATTAGTATCTATAATCAGCTGCCATGTGTTTCAAATAAGCACTTAAGAAGGAAACAGTTATAAGTACTTCACATATGTACCCTTGTGAGAGGTATTTTACAGAAAATGTAGATTTTCTCTTTATTTGTTTTTTATTTTTTTTATTCCAGCACACTGGGGAGAGCTTAGACTCGGAACCTATACTGTCTCTGGAACCAACACAACATCCACTGCGACACCCTACAGAACTGTATCTGTAACCAACATACCCTCCAGTGTGATACCAGGCATTGGGTCATCAGTGGACACATTCATCAACCTGATACCAACCAGAACCAATACTGGGCCATCAATGGAAATGTCCTCCAATGTGAGACCCAATAGAATGTGCAGTGTGTCTGCAGTCAACACACTCTCCAGTGCGACACCAGACAGAACAGGTTTTGGATCATCAAAGGACATACACTCCCATGGGATATGCGGCAGAAGTTACTATTCGTCTGCAGCCAACATACCCTCCAAAGTGACACCAGACTGTCCACGATGTCCACCAATGATCCAAAACCTAAGTACATGTTTTGGATCACCAGTGGATGTATCCTCCCATGGGGCACTTGGCAGAATGTACAGAATGTCTGCAACCGACACACTCTCCAGTGTGACACCAAGGAGAACAGGCATTGGGTCATCAGTGAACACATTCATCAATCTGACACCAACCAGAACCAATACTGGGTCATCAGTGGGTGCATCCTCCCATATGATACAAAACAGAGCTCTTACCGTGTCTTCAATCAAGACGCCCTCCAATCTGACAGGGAACAGAACTGGTACTGGGTCTGCAGTCAACACATCTTTTCAGGCCACACAGAACTAGTTCTTTGCCTTCAGTCAGGTCTTTCAGCCTGAGTGTCTTACCCAACACCAGAAGAAATCAGGGAATTTAATTATCGGATGTGACAGTTTTCTTGAGCAATATTCTAGCTTCTCTTTAGATGAAAAAATCTCCAGCAATGTAAAAAGACCTAATTAAAGTACAGTAAAAAAAGGAGTAATTAAAGTACCAACCTTTGTATTGTAGTTCCGTGTATGTAGTTTTTGGTTGTGACATCTATAGGTGGTCTAAAGCTGCACAGATAAAATGGCATAACAGACAGCAAGCAACTCAGCCAGCCTAATCCATTGGATAGTAGAAGCAAACAAGTCTCCAGGTACGTTACTGATAGGCTGGATTCAAGTTCAAACAGGGGACTTCAGCCAATCCCTTTGAACCGTGAATGCATCCATATCATTGGCCAGTGAACTGGTGGAGCTAAGACCCTTGTTCAATCAACTTTGTAAGAGTGGGAAATTTGAAGCCCCTATAAAAGAGGGTGTCTTTTGTTGGTTTTCCCAGCTTTTACAGAGATGGGGCAACTGGGAAGCATTTTAAAAGATTTTATTCCGTTATCAGTCTCGATGAATAGTGAGACATAAGAGATGTAAAACTCAACTCCATTCCATCAGAAGCCAGCCTATTTCCTGGTTACAATGCCTTATAAATGTTTTTCAACCTATTAGCTTTTGCCACACAATGCTGCTATTAATTCTAACACCAATGACCTCTATTTTTCCCCACATGGTCCTGCTACAATGCATCTTTCACAGTTCTAATTCTCTAAAATACCCAGTCTTTTTGCAGGGCCATATTTTGAAACTTTTTGAAACTTGCTTCTAATTCAATCTCTCTCTCTCAATAATGTCATCTCTATTCCACGGCCTTCCTAAGTCAGCATAGCTTATCTCAGTGTTTGCATACAGATGTACAAGACTGTGATCTTTGTGTCAGATTTTGAGAGTTCTTTACAAATCCATTTCCCACAGCCATTCAATAAGCAGTGGCTGTTGCTGCATTAACTCAGTGTATGTGTATGTCTCATTCCTGGCTACACCATCAGTGACTTTTGTTTGTCTGTAATTTCATATGTTTATGAAAATGTGCATTCCTATTTTCACATTTCTGTGTTTCTAGTTACTTCTATACCAAAGCACTTATTTTTTTAATTCTTACTTATTGCAGTTGTTAATTTCTATGTAGTATATTTTAAAATGTTATAAAAAAACACCTTTTGGGTAATTTTCCTCATTCTTAAAAAAATATCCACAAGACATTTTAGTCTCTGTCTCTCAAAGCTGTTTCATACCTGTCTGTTTTAAACGAGGACTACAGTACTTTAATAGGATTAAGAGGGTTCCATGAAATGCACACCAGTGATTCCTCTTGTGGAATGTCATGGCCCTGCCATGAGCCTCTTTTATTTTTGTTTGTTTGTTTGTTTGTTTTGTTTTGTTTTTGTGGTGGTGTTGTTGTTGTTTTTGTTTTTCCTTCCCCCTCATCAGTATAACTGCAGACACACATTTAGTTGCAAACTTAAGCCAGAAAAGCAGAATAAAAATTATGTGATGGGCCTTTGGGAGCACCCTTGCTGATGTGACAGTTTTCTTGAGCAATATTCTAGCTTCTCTTTAGATGAAAAAATCTCCAGCAATGTAAAAAGACCTAATTAAAGTACAGTAAAAAAAGGAGTAATTAAAGTACCAACCTTTGTATTGTAGTTCCGTGTATGTAGTTTTTGGTTGTGACATCTATAGGTGGTCTAAAGCTGCACAGATAAAATGGCATAACAGACAGCAAGCAACTCAGCCAGCCTAATCCATTGGATAGTAGAAGCAAACAAGTCTCCAGGTACGTTACTGATAGGCTGGATTCAAGTTCAAACAGGGGACTTCAGCCAATCCCTTTGAACCGTGAATGCATCCATATCATTGGCCAGTGAACTGGTGGAGCTAAGACCCTTGTTCAATCAACTTTGTAAGAGTGGGAAATTTGAAGCCCCTATAAAAGAGGGTGTCTTTTGTTGGTTTTCCCAGCTTTTACAGAGATGGGGCAACTGGGAAGCATTTTAAAAGATTTTATTCCGTTATCAGTCTCGATGAATAGTGAGACATAAGAGATGTAAAACTCAACTCCATTCCATCAGAAGCCAGCCTATTTCCTGGTTACAATGCCTTATAAATGTTTTTCAACCTATTAGCTTTTGCCACACAATGCTGCTATTAATTCTAACACCAATGACCTCTATTTTTCCCCACATGGTCCTGCTACAATGCATCTTTCACAGTTCTAATTCTCTAAAATACCCAGTCTTTTTGCAGGGCCATATTTTGAAACTTTTTGAAACTTGCTTCTAATTCAATCTCTCTCTCTCAATAATGTCATCTCTATTCCACGGCCTTCCTAAGTCAGCATAGCTTATCTCAGTGTTTGCATACAGATGTACAAGACTGTGATCTTTGTGTCAGATTTTGAGAGTTCTTTACAAATCCATTTCCCACAGCCATTCAATAAGCAGTGGCTGTTGCTGCATTAACTCAGTGTATGTGTATGTCTCATTCCTGTCTCCACCATCAGTGACTTTTGTCTGTAATTTCATATGTTTATGAAAATGTGCATTCCTATTTTCACATTTCTGTGTTTCTAATTATTTGTATACCAAAGCACTTATTTTTTTAGTTCTTATTTATTGCAGTTGTTAATTTTTATGTAGTACATTTTAAAATGTTATGAAAACACCTTTGGGGTAATTTTCCTCATTCTTAAAAAAATATCCACAAGACATTTTAGTCTCTGTCTCTCAAAGCTGTTTCATACCTGTCTGTTTTAAACGAGGACTACAGTACTTTAATAGGATTAAGAGGGTTCCATGAAATGCACACCAGTGATTCCTCTTGTGGAATGTCATGGCCCTGCCATGAGCCTCTTTTATTTTTGTTTGTTTGTTTGTTTGTTTTGTTTTGTTTTTGTGGTGGTGTTGTTGTTGTTTTTGTTTTTCCTTCCCCCTCATCAGTATAACTGCAGACACACATTTAGTTGCAAACTTAGGCCAGAAAAGCAGAATAAAAATTATGTGATGGGCCTTTGGGAGCACCCTTGCTGATCTTTCTGCTTTTTCAATTGAGTAAGGCTCTGATCCAGGCAAAGAGATTGCACTTAGGGACACAGAACCATTTGGCTGGAACTCTGCTGATTTCTAGTAACAGCTGGAGGCCTGGATCTCCACAGGATGCTTTGGCTGTCCCAGGCTTTGCTGGCTTTTGGCTGCAAATACCATTACCCTTGCTTTCTTCTCCAGAAGTACCATGGCTGGACAAAAACTGCCCAGTGGGCCATATTCCACAGGCAGCTTGGGCCGGAGTTTGTGAAGGAAGGGGACCCTTACCCAATTCCAAATCACATGAAAAAAAATCCTAAAATAGAACTTCCCATCCTTAACAAACAACTGACAATTCAGAAGTGGATGCAGAGCTTATTTACAGAATGAAAAGGAAGGGAATTTTCCAATGGGGTTGTGGTTTCTGGAGTTTTTATTCTGACTCCCACTCACAGCCAGGAGTGGAGAAAGCCATGTCCCTGGAAGTCTCAGTGTTTTCTGCCTGCCATGCATTGTTTGGCTGCAACAATCAGAGGCAAGGACAAGGAGGAGGTGGCTGCCCTGGCCCTTGGCTCTGTGGCAGGGCGCACTGGGGCTGCCCGGGCCCCAGGCCAGGAGGGCTCTGCCTGCAGCAGGGCACTCTCCAGGCAGCCCCTGGCAGCCATCTCCACGGAGCACAGCACGCTGCCCCGTCCTGGTTGTGTCAGTTTTCTTCAGCAATATCCTAGCTTCTCTTCACAAGGAAAAAACTCCAGCAATGTAAAAAGAGCTAATTAAAGTACAGTTTTACCTACCTTTATATTGTAGTTTAGTATATGTATTTTTTGTCTGTAATTTCAGTAATTTCATATTTTTATGAAAATGTGCATTCCTATTATCCTATTATTTCTGTATTTCTAGTTACTTCTATACCAAAGCACTTATTTTTTTAATTCTTATTTTTTGCAGTTGTTAATTTTTATGTAGTACATTTTAAAATGTTATGAAAACACCTTTGGGGTAATTTTCCTCATTCTTAAAAAAAATACCCACATGCCATTTTAGACTCTGTCTCTCAAAGTTGTTTCATACCTGTCTGTTTTAAACGAGGACTACAGTACTTTAATAGGATTAAGAGGGTTCCATGAAATGCACACCAGTGATTCCTCTTGTGGAATGTCATGGCCCTGCCATGAGCCTCTTTTATTTTTGTTTGTTTGTTTGTTTGTTTTGTTTTGTTTTTGTGGTGGTGTTGTTGTTGTTTTTGTTTTTCCTTCCCCCTCATCAGTTTAACTGCAGACACACATTTAGTTGCAAACTTAGACCAGATGAGCAAAATAAAAATTATGTGATGGGCCTTTGGGAGCACCCTTGCTGACCTTTCTGCTTTTTCAGTTGAGCAAGGCTCTGATCCAGGCCAAGAGATTGCACTTAGGGACACAGAACCATTTGGCTGGAACTCTGCTGATTTCTAGTAACAGCTGGAGGCCTGGATCTCCACAGGATGCTTTGGCTGTCCCAGGCTTTGCTGGCTTTTGGCTGCAAATACCATTACCCTTGCTTTCTTCTCCAGAAGTACCATGGCTGGACAAAAACTGCCCAGTGGGCCATATTCCACAGGCAGCTTGGGCCGGAGTTTGTGAAGGAAGGGGACCCTTACCCAATTCCAAATCACATGAAAAAAAATCCTAAAATAGAACTTCCCATCCTTAACAAACAACTGACAATTCAGAAGTGGATGCACAGCTTATTTACAGAATGAAAAGGAAGGAAATCTTCCAATGGAGTTGTGGTTTCTGGAGTTTTTATTCTGACTCCCACTCACAGCCAGCACTGGAGAAAGCCATGTCCCTGGAAGTGTCAGTGTCTTCTGCCTGCCATGAATTGTTTGGCTGCAACAATCAGAGGCATCAGGCTGGAGACAGGC